CACCACACCAGCAAAGCATGCCTGGCTTGGAGGAGGAGCTCAGAAGGGGAGCAAGTCAGTTTAGCAGTCTGCAGAGGAGCTGACCTACATTCTGAGCTCCTGGGAAGGAGCTTCTGAGGCCTGAAGCTGACTGCAGGGTGACCCAACTCAAAAGGCAATGGGAGACTTGGGAGGTGTAGAAGGTCTGAGACAATCTTTTATTTCTACTTAAGTTGATGTCTTCACTTTACTTATGGGAACAGAGGGGATGGTAGGAACTGATCCAGGGAGGCAGCAGTATAGCACTTTGGCAGCGCAGGATGTAGCTATCTACACTGGGGCCTTGATTTGAACCCTGTAGGAAGGGTGGGGCCATGTTCCCCTACCAACCCCTAAAGGGTGCCAAAGGAAGAAGTGGACCCCTGATATAGGGAGTCTAGGGGAGAGAAGGCCCTGAAGGACAAGATCTCAATCCAAGGGAAGATCCAGAGACCCTTACCTAACCCAGAGGGCTACCCCCTTGTTGGATGTCATACCCTGAAAGGCATGACCTGGCTGGCTGGTTCACAGAAAGGCCAGATCACTGTGGTATCAGAGCAGTTGTCAGCAGGGCCACCAGGAGAGAAGAGGATCTGCCACACCGCACCAGCCCACTGGGGGTATCTGTGGTAAGTGAGTCCTTTCATTGTTGGTGGACAGTGCAGGCAACTCATCCCAACTTTGCTAAAAGCATTTGGGCAGACAATGCCAGGTGGGGCTACTGGAAAGATGGACGTGGAGAAAGTGTTCAAATGGCTGACATAACCGGCAGGAGCAGGCTATGCAACTACGGGATTGACAATACCAGCTGTTGCAACAGATGACGGCCTAGCAGCAGCAACAAGCAGCCCTCCAGTTACAACAGCAGCAGCTTGTAAGAGAACTGGCTGCACAGCAACAGGAGCAACAGCAGTACCTTGTCTAACAGACATTGGATGCTCACATTGTTGTGGCCTCTGAGGACTAATTCCCTCCCAGGAACCCCAAGCTCATCTTCACTCCCCACGATCCCAGTGAAACTCAACAATGACACCAGAGGAAGACTCCCAGGTTTTTCTAGTTACGTTTGAATGAGTGGTGACAGCTGCCTCTCACACATCAGGCCATTTTGCTGGCCCCATATTTTATGGGACCATCTCAGGCTGCCTACAGGGGACTCGACTCAGTGGCCACACAGGATTATTTGTGAGTCAAGGCTGCCATTTTGTATTAGGTTTTGTATGTAATATCCAAATATCAGCATCGCTTTTGCAAAGAAATTTATCCACAGGGGCCCTGCCCCAGGTGGTAGCCCAGAAGTTAAGGGACCACTGTTGGTACTGGCTACAGCCCAAGAAAGGTGGCGGAGCTAGTCTTAGTAGAACAATTCACCCAGATACTGACCTGTAACCTGCTAAAGGTCAAAACTATAAAGACATCAGTTTGCCACCTCCAGCCAGATGGCTTACTGGAATGTTTCAACAAAATGCTGAAAGATGTTAAGAAATTTGGGATATCAGACCCTCGCCATTGACCAACTACTTCCCCCACTATTATGTGCCAGCTGAGAAATCCCACAAGCTTTCACTGGATTCTCACTATTTGAGCTACTATACGGAAGACAGCCTCATGGCATCCTAAACTTCCCCTGGGAATCTGGGGAGGAACAGAGGCCCCAGGCCACAAACATGGTCCAGTATGTTCAATTGCGTGAGAGGCTTAAATCTTTAGGTAATCTCTCAAAAGAGAATGTGCTGAAGGTCCAACAAACTCAAGAAAGGGCATACAACCAAGGGACCCATCTACATGTCTTTAGGCATGGTGACCAAGTGCTGTTACCCCTACCAACTCTGGAGTCTAAGTTGCTGGCCAGATGCTAAGGACCATTTGAGGTAGTAAGACAAGTTGGACCAGTGGACTCAGATCTGACAGCTAGGAGAGGGGATATAGGCGGGTCTCTTTTTCATGTTAACCTTTTAAAGACTTGCAAGGTCAGAGCGGGACAACTACCACCACCTTATCCACCTGAACTAGGTCCCTAGTCACCCAGAGTTCAGAGATCATACAGACAGAGAAGATCTCCAACCTAAGCAAAAGCCCTGATATAACATTTAGTTGAGTCTTTATCCTCTGTATTTTCAGCTCTACCTGGACAAATCCACTTGACCTACCACTACACAACCACAGAATAAGAACAGATACAAGAGACCCCTCAGCCCCTTTCTTGGAAAACTAGGAGAAGCTGTCCAGGAGGAATTACAAGCAATATTAGACAGGAGTGGAGAAGTGCCATTGTGCTGGTACCAAAACCAGATGGCATGATATGCTTCTAGATTAACTTTAGAAAGGTTAATGCAATATCAAAATTTGATGCATACCCAATGCCCAGGATGGACAAGCTACTGGAATGCCTCATAACAGCCAAATACTGGATTTGACAAAAGGGTATTGGTAGAGCCCTTTGACACCTATATTCTGGGGGGGGGGGGGGGGGGGAAGGAAGGATGGAGACAGCCTTTACCACTCTGTTCAGCCTTTACCAGTTCCACACTACACTATTTGGCCTCCATGGGGTAGCAGTGACATTCGAGCAAGTACTTTATGGACCAAGTACTTCGACCACATGGACAGTACACAGCAGCACCTCAGTATCATCTATTGGCAGAACTGGGGCAACGCCATATGACAGGTCACTGCCATGCTGCAGGCTCTCAAAGATGTAGGACTCACAGGGAACCTGGCTAAATGCAAGATGGGGAAATAAGAGGTCACGTATCTGGGCTATACCGTAGGGACAGGCCAATTGCAGCTGTTAGTCACAAAAAGATACAAGCCTTAATGCCCTGCTCCAGACAACAATGAAGCAGGTGCAATGCTTCTTGGGATTGGTAGGGTATTATAAGCAATTTGTTCTAGAATTCACCCTGATTGCAGCCCCCGCTCATGGACCTTATCAAGGACAGTTGTCCCCAAAAGATTATTTGGTCATAAGTCTGTGATGCAACAGATCACCTCTACTAAGAATGGTACTCCTTAACCTGGATTTTTCAAAACCCTTAATCATGCCAGCAGACGCTTCAGAACCAGGAGTCTGAGCAGTTAGGCAGAGAAGAATGCCCAGTTTTCTGCATAAAAGTCAAAAGAGGTTTCCCTCAGGAAGAAATTTACTCACTCAGTCATTGGAAGGAGGCTTGGCTGCGAAGTGGGCTATGGCTGCCTCCAAAAATAGTATCTAAGGGAACATTTATTTAAGTGACTGATCAAGCTCCATGAAAGACACCAACCCTCCAAGAGTGCTACAACCATACAACTTTGAGGTATTCCACCAAAGGTGGAGCAGCCCAGCAAAATGCATGTTCTCCTCCTTGCCCCTGAAGAGGGTCAAGAACCATTTGTTGAGGACAGTACCCTGGGCCTTGTTTTGATGGGGGAAGGTATGTGACAGGGCATCACCATCCCCTGTCCTTTCTCTGGGCCTGTTAAGAACTTTACCTTCCCAGAGTATATTACGTTAGCAGGTTGAACCATTTTGTGGAAATAGTCCAATTTCACTGAAGTTCTGATGAAACACAGGCAGGGTTACCCCTGAAGCCTGCTTAGTTTCCTGCCAACCTGCTTGCCCACCCACCTCCTCAGCAGTTTGGTATACAGTTGAAATCCATACTTGTCTTGCCAACAGTTAGTGTTTTTTGTTTTTTCTTGCCCCTAAACTAACCCTCACAGCATCTGATAGGTAATGTTTGTACTGCTCTTAAAATGTAAAGCACATACTATTAAAGAGCAATTTAACTTGAATGATAACTACTGTATAGCTTTAGACTACTTTTGAAACCATACAAGTAAAGATTTCCTTTAGGCTACATTCCTCCAATAAGTATCTGTTTGATGAAGCAACTTTAATGAAAATAGAGTTCCTGGTCAGATGAGGGGACAGATTTGACCAGATCTGTCTCAATTTTTCTTAGCTTCTTAGAGGAGATTCTTACCTTTTCCTTCATGCAAAAGGAACAGAATGGCCTAATGGAAAATATACTTGATTGGAGGCCAGATACTGGAGTTCTAATCCTGGCTTTCCCAGCGACATGCTGCCACACTCTGGGCAATCACATGTCTGCCTCCTTACCCGGTCTTGTCTATTTTGACTGTAAACTCTTTGGGGGCAGGGACAGTCTCTTGGAAGGTTTGTATAGTTCTTGATACATTGGGGCTGTTAATCTGTATGACAGCAACAGCTATTTCTTATTAAGGTCTAGAGAATTCTTAAACTCTGGTTTGATTTTCTTCTGACATGGGTGTGCATCAGGGATATTGCCACTCAAGTTAATGGAGTTACATTAGAATAAAACTAGTGTGAAGACATCAAATGAGGTCTACTTATCAACCTAAGTCTTCCCTGAAATAAAGGCCAGTTTAGTGCAGTTAGTTTTAGCACTGCCGTTTAACAGCAGTGCCCCATTTAGACTTCCACGCAACTGTAGCTTCCTGTTTAAAAAAAAATCCTACTTGCTGCAAGAAAGACCAAATTTAATCTTAACTTTTAATGTTGCTCCAGCACTTAAAAAAAATACTTAAGTATCAATCTAGTCTGGCAGTACAATAGCATTGGCCATAGTGATTTCTAACTCTAGCCTAGCTAGAGCAGTTCAACCTAAAAACCGCCATTGAGTAGTTAAAATGGAAATAGAGCAGCACTTATCGACAATTGTGTCTGACCCTTTCAGTCAGAGAGGTCTCACCTGAGGAAATCTAAATCAGAGGCATCTTCAAGAGAAACCAAATAAGCCTCCAGGCTAGTAGTCTCACATGGCTTACCACCTCCCTTACCTCCCAACACTTGCCCAAACTCCAAGTAGGTTCTCAATGAAACAGAGCTGGCAGTTTGTGTATGTTACACTGAATTTAAGTGTATATCCATGTAGTGTATGGACACAAGCATTTAAAAACCCCAAAAGAATGGTACATATTCTCTGGAAAAAAAAAAAAGTCACAATGTTTGTCTCTACCTCCATGCTAGTATTGGGGTCAAGGTCATCACACTCTGATTCCTCGGAGCTGTTGGTCTCCTTGTTTGGCAGCATGAAGAGGAAGAAAGAAGTGAAAGGTTAGAACAGAGATTGGTTAGGCTGTGTGAGCAGCAGCAGACTTGCTAGCAGCATGGAAATGTGTACTGGTAAAGGAAATGCTTTAAAAAACAGAAAAGGTCAGCATAGGTAGCAACATGCTTTTGCAAACGGAGAGGTAACAATCTTGCGACAGTTGTTTAGGTAATAAAAAATAGCAAAGGAAGCAATAGAATGAAGAGTTTGTCTGCCAAGCTATACCAGCTTCTTCTTTGGGTCTGGATTCTTTGCTACCTTACATCTTCTGTAGCCATTTTATATCTGTGCAAACCTGGGTTTTGTTTGTTGCATAACATTTTACTATGAGAATTTGCTTGTCCTTGTTGGGAGAAACAAGCCCCATATAGGTGCTGAGGAGGCTCCTTTATCATCTTTTACAGGTATTTCTGCTCTGAATTGGAAAATAGTCATGCAACCATAGCAGAAGATGGATCTTAAGCCATAGTTTATCTTTCCCATACTAAAATACATCCTCCTACCATTCCCCACCCCCATACACACCAGGATCTAGGCTGGTCCCCCCTCTTAATATGGGACAAGGAAGTGGTTGAGGACACCTCCCCCAAACATTTGGCTGTGACCCCAAAGTTGAAAACCCCATTAGCTTAAGAACGAAGATGAAATCCTGGCCCTATTGGAGTGAGTGGCAAAACTCCTATGGACTTCAGTGGTGCCAGGATTTCACTCAGTAGTTTTCACACAGGCTGTTGCCTCACTATCTGGTATGATGGAGCTCCAAGTTTAGCCAGGGTAAAGGGAGCAAAAAAACAAACAAAACCCACTCCCGCCCACGCTTTGCATTTCATCCATTGTGCATAGATATTTAATCTTATCAATATTTTATATAAAAAGAGAAATACTTACTTGCAGTTCCGATGCCAGGAAAAAACAAAACAAAAACACCACCAACACAAAGGCTGCATTTTATTTTGCATGCAAAATCCTGTTAGCATGGGAACTACCAAAAAATTATAAACAAAAATCAAAATGTCACCCCCCACCTCTCCTGAGAGAGGATGGCAGAGGGGGTGAGGAGGATGGAAAGCAGGAGAGTGGCCCACAGCTTTGGATGGCCTTACTCACTTTAACAGAGACTTTGTTGCCCAGAATATCCTTGGATTTACGTGGCCCATTGGATTCATTTTTGCCACTGCTCTCCTTTTCCGCCCGCTTTCTCATGCGCAGGGTATGCCATGAACATGACTTCCTGTTGTACCAAAAAATGCACCAATCAAACGGCAGATCATGGCAGGGAAGGAAGGATGTGGAAAGGGGACCAGCAGCCACATTTGTGAGTACTGCAATTCCCTAGAAAGTGAAAGCCACCAGGAATGCATCTATTTCAGTTTCAGCAATAGCATTTATTTGAAAACAATTTCAATAGTTCTACCAGCAGATGATGCGCCACATTTGCTGTTTTAATACATTTAGTAGAAAGCCAGTTCCCTAGATAAATAGGGAACTGGGCTGTATCAACTTCAGCTAATCGGTCATCAGGCTTCAGGGACTTCAGCAAGAAACGTTTGCGACAAATGCAAGCGCTAAAAACGTCAATTCAATTTAAATCTTGTCAATTCAAGTAGTGAAACTGATGCAAATGTGATGGGAATGGGTCTTAATGGACTGATTTGATACAACAAGTACAAGAGTTCAGAAGTTCAAGGTGGATCCTTGAGTGTTGCTAAGAACATGAATAGCTAAAAAACCAAGTAGTAACTAGGTCATTAGATTTCCAAGAGAAGTTGTTTCCCAGAACTACAAGCTTTGCTATATTTCTTGGGGCCAGGAATTTCCTGTTCGTTTAACATGGTTGCATTTTGTCAATCCAATTGTCTGACATTAATCAAATCTATAATTTGTTGACTAAACAGAGCACGGAATTAGTGATTTCCATGTCCAACCCCTATTTACTGTCCCCATGACCTTATCCTTTGAAAAAAGATCATGTCACCCTTTATAAGAAAAATGCTATGGAGACAAGAGAAAAATCACAGATCAGAACAGACATCAAATTAAGAAAAAAATCAGTTTAAAAAATGGATTTAATTTACTTTCACAGCAGAAAGTTTACCACTTGCAGGGTTTGTGTTTATTTTTTAATATTCACCTAAAGCAGCAAGTTCTCAAGAACAGCAGTGGAATGAGCTGGGACCCAGGTCAGAAGCATTCTGCTACATCTGCCCACCTTTAAGGCATGCAAATTTGATTTGCATGTTTGAAGCCAATGTTTGGCTTATGTCGCATCTACAGTACCTTGACATTTTATAAAGAAAGTTGCATGTAATCCAACGATAACCTGTGATGCCAATCAAATATATGACATGTTAGGATCTTAAACTCCAGAAACAGTAGACATTCTGTATTCCAATTCTAAAAAGTGTTTGTGTTCATTATGCTTTAGCATCAGATTAGAATGGTACAGTAGGTCACATCAAGATTAAAACGATAGACCTATAACAGCTGTACACACCAGCACAAGACTAAACTGGTTTATGTTAACTAAAACTGGTTGTGGATACAGTTTCAGAGTGTCCACACTACAGCAACACAAACAAGGTCACGTGCACTGTGTCTTTGAGAACTACTTATGGGCATTCACATTGGGCACCAGAAAGGAGCAGTATTATATAAACTGCTCACATCTGTAAAATTTGGCTGAAAAATGTTATGACAATATTCTTGCATGTGATATTTTGGCACCTCTAGGCGAGATTCAAATTGGATATGCAAAGCAATGTGGAGTTATCCAAACACTGCAGAACTCACAGAATTCAAGTTTAAGTTTTCTTGGAAGATCGGGATTAGTCAGTGGTTGGTTGATAGGTTTCTCTCCCCTTACCTCCAACTGGCTGAACTATCACCAGATCAAACAGAGTAGGGTGTGAACACTACCGTTACTGCTTTAGCATGGTTTATAGACAGACTAAGTCATTCCACCCCACTTTTAAACCCCAGACTACATGGTAACATGATAGAGCTGTAGACCACACCCACAGTTGGCCATGTGTTTGTTTTATAGGACATACATTAGAGTGTGTTCAGGCAAGCAACTATATTTTCCAGAGTATGAAGAGAATATTTGTGAGATATAAATCTCAAAAAGGGAGAAGAAAAAAAGTGCAACATGTGCTTCATTCACTACAGTTTTGGTTTAGTGCTCTTTGCAGAAATCATTGCAGAGTATGACTGCACTGGAAGCTTCGATTTGACATTATTTATTGGGAAATCTAATACTGTTGACAAATATAACAGCACCCAATTCCACACCAGTGCTAGAGAAGAATGCCATCAAGTCTCTAGCTACCAGAGAGATGCTAAATAATTCCTTAGCTTTAGTATATATTTCATACGTTTTGACCAGGAGCATTGATCCTGTAGAATACAGGTAAACCCAATATCATGTGACACCTAACACTGAGCAGAATTTAAAAAGGCTTCGCCCTCACTTCAAATCTACACCTTGAGGCACTCATGTGAGATAAGATTTAGCATCCATCATGCAAATAAATTTTAGATATTAAAAGAAAACAGGTATTACTAAACAGGGTTGTACCTTCTGTATTTAATACCAAAAAAACCACTTTCTTGCATTTAGTCATTTCAGATTGACAAATTTCTAAAAAAAAAAAATCAGAAAAAATATTCACACATTTGTTAAATAAGCAACAAAACATAACAAAAAAACAAAAGGGTCAAACTAGTCCTTTTTAACCTCATTAAAACATGCTCATGGTGAAAATTTATTTTACATATTTAAAATAGTACATTTAAAATTATTAGTTACATTACAGGTACAATGATGAACATTGCGACTATCCATTATATTGCACAACCTGACTTCATCAATATGGGTTTCTTTAAATAGTGCAAAATACTTTATACAGGAATGTACTTAGAAGGGGGTCTTGCCAACAAAAAATATTTTACAAAAGTTACCGTGAACAGAAAAATGTCAAAATAAAAGATACAAGCTGTACAAAGAAATTGCCATAGACAACAAAATCTCTCCTCCTTGAGAAGCAGGCCTCAGTCCAACACAAGGCCTGATTTTTTGCTAGAAGCTGTTATAACCAATATATATATTAGTAACTTAATACAACATAAATATAAGTCCAGTCCAATCAGGTCCATGTAGGTGTAAAATGGATCAACGTAAAACATGCCTTTAAACTGTCTATGGTTTTAAATTCTTTACAAAGTATAAACAAAAAACCACAAACAAAAATAACCAAAACCCGAACTATCCAACATGGATGCCCCATGCTGTGGATTGAGCATTCAAAGTTTGTTCCAATGGCACTGTAGATAAAAAAAATCAGCAGGAATTCCCTACCATTTTTTTTTTGTTTTTTCCTCAAAAATCCACACACTGCTCCCAGGGAAGCCAACATGGCACTTACTTGATGCTTCCGTCGCTATTATCTGTAGTGGATTTAGTGAGGGGAGCCAAGATATTGCCTGGAATCCATCCTTCAGCGGCCGGGGAGTGGTCGTTCGCAGGTTGGTACACCAGGAACATATTTTGCTGGTTGATGGCAAGGATCTGAACCACCTCGCCCTGATTCACGCAGATCTCATTCTCCTTCAGTGCATAGTAATCTTTGATTACCACCATGGAAGAGGTCCCATTGCACCCTCCCAAGTCACTCTGTGAAGAGGACAACAGAAATTGTTAGGAAGTGTGTGTTGCTGGGGAATAGGTGAGAGTTACCTCTTTTAGGAGCAGCCAGGACACAGTTTTCAGACTAGTAAAGAAAGGGTGGTGGTGGTGTTAAAATCCTTAAATAATTGTAAATTTACATCAGAAGAAAAATCTATAATTAAGAGTTTGAAGTTATCTAGTAATCCAAATACCCTGGGAATTAAAGCCAGAGTCCTGTTTCATATCATAATTCGCATTTGGTTCAATGGGAATTTTGTTCTCGGAGTTCTAAAAAAAGACTTATTTGCATTTTATTGTAGCAAAACAATTGTATACCAGGATGTGGGGAAAAGAGCAGTGAAAGCTGATGTCTGAATAGGAAATCAACACACAATGGCAGGTACACATTACACAGTAATTGGACTTGCAACAACAGCTTTTGGTCCCTGTCAAGGCTGCATTTGAACCAGTGGCAATTTGGTGGCCTATGTGAACTGAGTTCATGGTCTCAGCTCTGTTTGCAATAGTAAACATCAAAGAGAAAACCCTATCTCCACACCTGGCACTCGTTAGCCTCAGAGAGGATAGCACAGAGCTGATCTCCAAGTCAGGGTGCTGGGCATATTGTTCTAAGATTGAGGTGGAAGGTTTCATGGCAGCTGCCTGTGCTGTAAACAGGGAAATTCAGTCACCAGGGTTGTGAAAACTCCATTTTCATGAGTCTTAAGTTTGCTTACAGTTGTTTGTAAGTGTTTTAAGGTCTACACATCTTTGATCTTTAAACCACCTATTCTGTTGTGCCACTGGTTTGGCAAGCTGGTTTCTACTGACCTGATTAGTTCATAATTTCATGGATATTCCAGGATACAAAGAAAGACAGGCTTCAGTATAATGATGAGCAGAGATAAAGTACCTTGCTTTGTTCGTATTTGTCCCCAGGCTGGTGGTGTTCATACCCTGCACTGCCATTGGAGGTAGATATCTTCAGGGGTGGCAGAGATGGGTTACGGCTTGTAGCCTTTGAAGGCTTCTCAGACCCTACTGGAACAGAAGAATAAGGTCTGCTGTTGGGCTGAGACACCCTACTAGCTTGTGGCCTCATTACTGCAGAGGTACTCTCTTTGCGTTGATACTCTATGGGCGACTGTAGTGCTGCAGGAGAGGAAGAGAATTAGGTGTACCGCTGCTTGTGACACAGTGTAACCTGACGTGCAGTACATGATGTCATTTCAAAGTAAACCCAAGGGATACTCAACTGCATCACACATGGAAGAGCACATTTACATTTAGACATCTTGAGACCACCTCACAGTACAGTATATAATGATTCAACACAAGGCTCCTCTTACTGCTATGATGGAGTTGCTTGTCTAATGCTACAGCATGCTGAAAACTTAACCCTTCAACAGAAATAAACACGTTCACATTTTATTTCAAGCAGCACATATATCAGAATGATTCAATGTTCCCTTATAGGTACAAATGACAAAACTTAAGTATGTGGTGTGTATTTATTCACGTACTTGATACCCAGGCTGCTAAGAGTTACTGGCCCCCGTTATACTCAGAAAACCGCCTACTCACATAACCCACTTGTATAGACAAGAAACCATGGCTACCAAATTATCACCAAATGTAGTTTACTCTGGACCTGGTTACATCTTTGTGTAGAACCACAGAATTAGAAGTGACTGCAAGGGTCATCTAGTCTCACCCCCTGCCAAAGTGCAGAATTTGTATATGATCTATAACTATTTTGGTGTAGGGCAGTTCCTGGAAGCTACCAACTAGGCAATTGGTGTTGATGGCATCAGAAGGTTAACCTCAGTTGGTCATCCATCTCCAGAAGATGCCCTGTACCAAGGTTATAAGAAACCCAAAATAGTGAGTCTGGGAGCAGGAGAAAGTGTTTGGCTGTGGAGAGATTTGAAAGGAAAGGGTAGGAAATAGGGGTGTATATTTGAGCTGGTGTGGAGCAGAGGAGAATGGGGTTTTCTGAGGTGGTGGGGAGAAAGGTTGGGTTGGCAGGTTTGAGGATAGGAGTCAATGATAAATGAAGGTGTAGGTGGGGAACCCGTCAGGTTAGAGGTAGTTTGGAGGTTGAGAAGTGGAACTGGAGAGATGTAAAGAGGTTACAGTAAAAGAGGCAGAGAAAACTGCAAAGTATCCCTGTTTTTCATTCCCCTTCTCCCTTCAGAAGGGAAGAGGGCACCCTTTTTCTTCTGACTTCATCACCCCTCCCCCCAAATAGGGTCTTTTCCACTTGAAGAGTTGATCAGACTACAGGAGCTGATAAGAGGTCCTCTGACAACTTGTATCTAGAGCCCCACCTAGTAGTATTAGGCACCAGGTATCACTGTGAGCTGGTCAAAGTTTAGGGGCAGACTTTGAGCTTGCAAATCTTTCTACACGGACTGCCATTATTCAGAAGAGGGAAGAGAGGAAGAGTCACCAGGATCAAAGACTAGAAATCCTTAAGTGTACGGATTTGGTGTTTGTGTGTCATGCAGCTTCAATGGCTCTGGACAGATCATTGCCAGAGAATCAGTACTCTGTACATTGGTCAGACTGGAAACTAAATGGAATGCAGAGAGACTAATTCAGCAATGAGAAAATGCAAGAAAGTATCACAGATCAAATTAATCCAATCAAGAAATCACAACAGAAGCATCCCTCCTAACACTGAGGAGATGAAAAACCTCACAAGGGATAGACACGGACTCCAGCATTTTTACTAAAAACAGGGGGGGAGAAAGGATTCAATAACTAAGGAATAATTTAATTCCAAAAATAAGTCTCAGATATCTTCCTTCCCTCTGCACACACTTTACATTTGAGAGAGAGACCAGTTTCTGCAGCTGCTCTCTGCATTAGTTTGACTGAATTGATGGTGAGCTGACCTTTGGAGTGGCTGCAGTCCAAAAGGGGAACCAGACCCATATAAAAGTAGAGATTAGACAATTCAGCTAACCAAACCCTTCAGGCATCCCAAATGTCAGATGCATGCAATGCTCTGCACTCTCCCAGGAGCACAGCATCAAATGTTTAGGACATTCAGATTTGAGGCAAATTTTGGTTTTACAAACATCTTTGAGTTGACACTATTCTAAGCTCTTGTTTCAGAGCCTGACAGCCTCTCCATATTAGGGGTGCAAGCTGAAGGCCAGGCTACCATTCTGGAGTGAGTGGATTCTGATTATGGCCTCTGAGTGCTACTATATTTACAATGTTGAGTGCAGTTAACAGGCATCAGGAGACATGACCTTGAAAAAGCAAGGAAGTTTTGTGAGGCTTTCACCACAGATATGTCCCAGCAGCATGCTGCTGGGGGGGAGGGATTTGGCTCCCTGGGATAAAACCTGCCTCTGAACCTGGCTAACACACTGTACCAACCATATACTTTAGCAGGAAGTCAAGTGCTGCCAGAGTCAGACCCTACTAGCCACAGTTGTTCCTGGGCCAGCCAAGAATTCCATGGAACCATTAACACAGCATGGAGCTGTATAAACTTTTCTGGACAATTTAAAAGGTCTGAGGATTATGGTGGCATTATATGCTTTCTCCCATACCCCTACACTGGTCACCTAGAGTCTCCCCATCACAATGCAGTCCCTGAACTAGGTAGAGAGATCACTGCATGGGGTAGTACTATACAAGCACGTGAGTCTTTCCTCTGCAAGAAAAAGGGAAGATCAATATATTAAGGATTCCTCTACATGTGACTCTCAGGGGATGTGGCCTGGCCTTGGGTCAACAACTACTTAAAGATGGGCAGCCTGGATTAAGCTTTCTGTTTGAGATTTTTCCTTATGAACCTGAAGGTGATGAGTGTTTTTCAGCAGAAGACAACATTTGAACATTGTAGATTCCGGTTAATGCAGAAGACACTGTACAGAGATAGACTACGTACCATTTAGGAAGTCTCTCTGTGTGTCCAGAACCTGATTGATGTCCTGTATCCAAGCTTGCTGAATTTCAGGATTGGCAGCCTGTAAAATGACTCGTTCTGAAGTTTCCCGGCTCATAAGAGCAAATTTACAGGGATCATCATCCACTATTTCTTCAATGATTAGATAGTTCATCTGCAAGAAGCCCAATGAAGCATGGGTTACATTGGAGAAGGCTCAGCAGCATTCAAAGATAAATGATTGTACTAATTTCCTGAACAAAATTAGCTTAAAACTATCATTTGATTACAATCAGGAGAACAAAATGCCAATGTGCTTGAAGTTCCAGATAATGTCTAATGAAGGTCTAGCATCCTACAGTCTAGTGAAGGTCTAGCATCCTATAGGCAGATTTTTCAGGTTTAAGTCTCATGACTCAATAGCTATCCAAGATCTCTCAGCCATCTGCATTGTCTTGAGTTACAACTTCCTTTGAAAAAAGCAATGTGATCATGGCTGATGGGTCAAAAATAAGCATAACCTGAAAGTGACATTAATAAAAATTCCTCCTAAGAGTTGAAACCCTCCTGCCTCCCAAAAATCCTACCATCCCTCTAATACAAGAATTGACAGCAATGTTTACATCAATTTCTCTCCCCTGAGGGGAGTAATGGGAACTCAGCCATTAGTCACTTAAAATTGGACTGTGTACAGAGATATACTAAAAGGAATAATTCTCCACTGATGATCCAGTGGTATTTTTCCTCTCTGATTATTCTACCACCTAAGTCACTTGCTGTGCAATGACTCCATTAGGCTATGATCCTGCAAACACTTTATGTGCCTATCTTTGACTTCTTTGTGACTACTTGCATGTCTAAAGATAAGCATGCAAGTGAGTGATTGCAGGATTGCGTCCTTCATCCAGGATACCGCTGGGCCTGTTAAACATTTCAAGTGTCTGTGAAACATGATGTGAACATGCATGAATGATTAAAAAAAACAAACAAAAAACCCCACTTCTGATCTGTCAGCTTTAGCCATTCTTGCAAGCAGGCCCACTGCTGTTTTACTTTACATCCCACAAAATGAAGGAGGGAGGGGATGGATGGTGCACCATCTAGCTAATGTATTTCCAATATGCATATCAGAGAGGTGTTGAGCATCCATGTACAACATGTGTGAACCAGCTCAAAGTGAGGTCATCTCATTTTCAGTTCCCTGAGTACATAAGAACTGCCTATCAACTGAATGGGGAGGAAATTCTGCAAATTAACTCAGTTTAAAAAGAAAACCACCACCACAGCAGCAAGCAGAAGAACATCACACTCCACATCATTTTAAGGGCATGTCTTCACTGCAACAGTTAGCTTGAATTTACGCTGCTCGATCTAGGCTAGCTCAAGTGAGGGCTGCTCCACACTGGGAATTTACATTGAATAGCTACATGTCAGGGGTGTGGAAAATCCACACCACTGAGGCTAGGTCTACACTACCCGCCTGAATCGGCGGGTAGAAATCAACCTCTCGGGGATCGAATTATCGCGTCTCGTTGGGACGTGACAATCGATCCCCGAATCGACACTCTTACTCCACCAGCGGAGATGGGAGTAAGCGCCGTCGACGGGAAGCCGTGGAGGTCCATTTTGCCGCCGTCCTTACAGCGGGGTAAGTCGGCTGCGATACGTCGAATTCAGCTACGCTATTCACATAGCTGAATTTGCGTATCTTAAATCGACCCCCCCCATAGTGAAGACCTGCCCTGAGAGATGGAGCTATGTCACCTAATACCCAGCGCAGACAGCATTTGGTTAATGGAAGAATTTGTCTGTTGACCCAGCTACTGCTTCTTGGGGAGGTGGATTACCTATGTGGACAGGAGAAGCCCAGGTAGGGTCTAGGCAGTGTTGCCAGCTGCCAGCCAATCGGCAAAAGTGGTGATCAAACCACAAAACCACCTCAAGTGACAGAGTGATTGTATTAGCAGAAAGAACAGGAGTACTTGTGGCACCTTAGAGACTAACAAATTTATTAGAGCATAAGCTTTCGTGGGCTACAACCCACTTCTTCGGATGCATAAGCAGAGTGTTAGAACACACCCGCATCTAATCAAAAAACAAACAGTTACAGCATCACTTGAGTCTGAGTAGCACTCAAGCTTCAATTTACTCCCCTGATGGGCTGGCTAGTTGAAGCTTAAAGCACCACTTAACTCAAATTAGAGAGCTGTGCGTGAACAGTAGTTGGGTTGGGGCAAAAATGGAGTTATAGCTCAAGCTAACAATGTACCAAAGGCATGCCCTGAAGTGCAGTTTAACTGGAAGCTATCAGATAGCCCTAGGCCAAATCTGCTTCTTTTGGCATTGGTAGATATATAGAAAAAATAAATATCTTCAACATACAACGCAAGAATTGCTCTTTGCAGAGAACCTACATTTTCTAGAATCACCTATTGAGAAGTCAACTCCCCCCACCTCTAGATTAAAAAATAGGGTTAATTCTTGTCACTTGATGTCTTTCTCCCCCCTTTTACTCCCTGTTGGAAGGGGGAAGGTAGGAAGTGATTTTAAAATTAAATGGATTTAAAGACATCAGGATTTACAACTGTTCTTGAGATTTACAGTTTAGTGTTATTGGTTTTTGTGTTCTTACAAATATTTCCACCTTGAATAGTCTCTCTTGCAACACTAAGTAGGCTAATAAAGTAATACCAAAGATTAAGGACCCCAATTCAGGAAAGCATCCCTATTACAGTTAAGCATGTGCTTAAGTTCTGAATTGGGGTTCAAGATCATTTTGGTTCAGTTTCCCCTCCTCCACTCCTAGTGGAGAGAAAATTAGCAAGCCCCTTCTGCTGCTATCATTAGTTCTTCAATAGACCCAATTCTTATTCATGCAAAGCTCCAGGCAACAGATGTTAACTGTTCAGACCTGCCCTTTGCTGCATATCTTTAAAGTCAGCTACTGAATTGTGCAGGGGCAAATTTACAGTTGTTGTCCTTATACTAGCTTTGGTCCATATTACTGAAAATTAGTGGGAACACTCTGCAGACTAAGGTCTATATATGGCACTTGAGGACTGGTATGCCTAAAAGTCAGTCCAGAGCATAGAAAAGTCATGGTTAAGTAGCAAACACTTATCAAATAGGACTTTCCCATTTCTTACCTTTATACTTCTCTTAAACATGTAGCCTGGTGTTAAAGAGCCTTTCCTAAGAAGTTCACTAAAGATGACTATTTGCTCAAAGAGGAAGACCCTGCGCTCCTTTGGCCGAGACAGCCCTCCAGAATCCTGCTCAGTTACATAGAACGTATCCTGCTGCAGCAGCTTTCCTTGAGCAGTCAGCTTGCCCTGAGAAAGAGAGAAATTGCCAACTTAAACACACATATGGGTAAGAACAAAATCACACAGCCCAAGGGCTGATCTGCTGGTGTTCACATGTTCTGGGGTTTCGAAGGAGCACTGAATTCTCAAAGGCAGAATGCCTCTGGACTTGCCACTAAAGTCTTAGCACTCTGAGTGAACTCTTGTCAAGGAAGGCAAACACGGCTGTTCTTTATTCTCATCGTCACCAACTGTGTTTCCAAGACAGAAAATTCCACGTCTCCAATGGAATGTTTTTATACCTGTTTCCAACTATATTCCCATTATAATTTTTGAGCTACTATTTAAGACATTCTGGGCCTAATTTTGGAGTTTAGGCATTTTACCAGGACAGACAATTCCTGCATTGAATTGGTCAACTTGGTACATCATTTAAGAGCCCGCTCTGAAGCTGCACAGGTGCTCACACCCTCATGTCAAGCTACCTCACTCAAGGTTTTGGGTTATCATGCTAAGCAGCAGAGGAGTCCGACTGTGAGGCCACTCGTTCTGGCAGAGCAAATAAGTCTGCAATTCAAGCTTTGAAAAGCTTTGTACAGGATTGTTCCATTTTTAGAACGACAGGTACACATTTGTCCCACCCCTCCCCCTGAATCTCAGAGGAATATAGCTCACAGTTAAGAGAGCAGAACTCTGGTTAAAGAGGCTGAAGGACAATCTGTGGAGATAGTAATTGAAAAAGATGCTCATAGCCCCTTGAGCACTGCTTTTTAAGCTAACTGCTGTATGAGCATGACAGATGCATACCTCAAAGCCCTGAAGACGGCCCAGGTTCATCATATCATTGCAACGTTTTGGTACAAGGCACATTAATTCAACTGCTTTCTGTTAAATATAAACAATACATTAATTATGAGAAGGCCAGAGCACTCTATGGAAAAATTAAACACACAGGCGCCACCAATCAAATGAAAAACGAATGAAGCATGCTTGTTTTTAGAAGTTATAAAGGCATGATTCTGGTGCATCTAGGTCAGGGGAGGGCAAACTATGGCCTGCAGGCCAGATCCACCCTGTGAGGGCTTTCAATCCGGCCCATGGGATTGCCAGCCCAGTGGCGCCGTGGGGCTAAGACAGGCTCCCTGCCTGCCCTGGCCCCACGCCGTTCCCGGAAGCAGCCGGAACCATGTCCCTGCGGCCCCCCTGGGGGGGGGGGGGGGAGAAGAAGAGAGGGCTCCATGAGTTACCATCACCTGCAGCTCCCATTGGCCAGGAATGGGGAACTGCAGCCAATGGGAGCTTTGGGGGTGGTACCCACAGGCAAGGGCAGCACACAGCAAAGCTGCCTGCCCCACCTCACCCCCAGGAGCCACTGAGACACATGCTGGCCACTTTCGGAAGCGGTGTGGGGCCGGGGCAGGCAGGGAGCCTGCCTTAGCCCCACTGTGCACCGTTGCCACCTTGGAGCCGCTCGAGTTAAGAGGCGCCAGGCTGGAGCCTGCACTCTGCACCCCCTCCTGCACCCCAACCCCCTGCTGCACCCTGCACCCCCTCCCCCAGCCCTACATTCATAGCCCTGCATACAATTTCTCCACCCAGATGTGGCCCTCGGTCCAAAACATTTGCCCACCCCTGATCTTGGTGTTTCACTAATGTCAATGGAAGGTCTGGCATGCAGGCACGGGCCCCAACTACATGTAGCTTAATCTAGAAGAGAAAATAAATTAACTTAAATGAAACATGAAATAAGCAATTGTTTCTTTGCTCATCTCCAATATTCTATTGGCAATTTGCTTTCTCTACAAAATTCCACTGAATTATTCAGCAATAGCTAGATAAAGCAATAGTGTCTAGGATATGAAAGTATACCTCTATATCAGAGCATTCCAGCCCAGCTTTCTCACTGTATCTCAGGAAGTCCTAAAGAAAGCAAGACAGTTCTCATGAAGATGTTTTAGGAAAGTTACCCATTATCTAGTTTAAAAAAAAAAAAAATCCACCAACAAGCAACAGGATGTAACTCCACAGAAAATGAAAGATGTACTTAGACAGCACTTTGAGAATCTCTGAGAAACTTAATATAAATGAATTAGTTTTCAAAACATGCTTGTGAGGTAGGGAAAATATCCTACCCATTTTATAGGTGGGGAAACAAGCACAAAAGGTTGAATGACTTGCTGAAATTCACAAAGCAGGACAGGACAGAACGCTGACTCAGTCCCCTCTTTTAAGCCACAAGACCACACACTTGAAGATACCCTTTTTTCCCTTTTGAAATCTTATAGACAAATGCAATTACTTTTTTGCAACTAGTACAGTTACCAAAGCATGGGCTGATGGTAGTCAGTTTGAGATGTTAAGTAGCTTAAACAAAAGCCACCAGTACATTTATATATTATGGGCCAAATTTCAGAAGTGATTCACGTTGGGCAACTAAAATTAGACACCTCGGGTTAGATTTTAAGAGATGAGCAGCTAGAGTTGTGGAAGAAGTCAAGAGCTGTGGGTGCACAGAATCCTTGAAAAGTCATGTTGCGTGTCTAAGTTGGACTCCCAAAGTAGACACTGAAAATTTGGATCTATCCATTTCTCATTCTAGGGCACAGGATATCAACATACAGAAGCTCGGTACACATCTGTTAAAAGCATTTGCCTTCATTCAGAACCAGTCTGTGCTGGTGATATTTCTAGATCTGTTTATTCCATTTAGAGCTGGCCAGAAAACAGGAATGCTTCTGGTGGGCATTTCCATGGGAAAAATCCTCATTTGAAATTTTCTGGTCAGAAAATAACTTATACCCCATAGGAAAATTTGAAAAATTAAGAAAGTATGTGTAAGGGGGAAAATGAACTATTTCCTTCAATGACTGTTTTCCACCTTTTGCTAGTTTTATTTTATAAGAGAAAAAAAAAAAAAAAAAAAAAAAAAAAAGTTAGCGGTGGGCATTTTCCAACAATCATTAAATGAAAAATTCAAAGTTTAGCTTCCCCTCAAGTTGTTCATTCCCCCCCCCCCAAACAAAATTTATCAAAATGAGATTTGATTTATTTTTTTTCAAACCTCATTTTCAATGAAGCCTTTTTTAAAAAATGAGAAACCTGAACATTATTGTTTGCCTATCCTTTGTCTGCATCTTATGCAGAACATCCCTAAATCTTTGATTATTCTAGCAAGATTTGGTAAAGCAACTGAAGTGTCTCAAAGAGCAAAGACTGACATACATAAGACATTAGCCATCATCAGCTACCAAACTCTGTTCTCAGAGATGTCTTAACTGGGGCCCCTCTGCTGGCTGGATGTCTATCTATAGACAAACGAATATTGTAGGGGCTAACGTATAATGGAGCTTCTCTTCCATTAACTTTTCACTTGAGTTAAAGAGATGGTTACTTACAACATACCCCATAAGATAATTTGAAATGTCAAATTTTAAGAGACAAACCTCAAGTTACAATGAAATTCAGACGGATTCAAGTCAAAGTCCAACGCAAGATGAAAATGATCCATAGCTTAATCTGAATTGCATCTTTACACTCACCTTGAGTAGAAGCTGGTACTTGGTTATTCTTTGAATAGGTTTGATTAAAAAGTCACTGAGGGTTAACCGTTGGTTTATTTCTTGCTGTACCTCCTAAAAAGTAATATTAATCACCACAATATTAAGAAATAGTTACAACAAACCACATGAATACATTTATAGCTATTCTATTAGCAAAGACAGGAAACAGGACATGGTAAGTGATACTCACAAAATAAAAAGATTAAAGAGTAATTTTCTGCCAGAGCAAGAGGACATTTTAGAAAACCAAAAGGTTTTCAAAATCTGCAAGTGTCCCTTTTTGGCATGTACTGGGCAAAATACTTGGAAGCTAATCTAAAGATTTGGGATTCATTTTCAATTTTGAGCTGGTAGAGCAGGAATTAGAGATCTGGAGACTGCTCTTCCCATTATAGTTGGGTGATGGCCATGAAGAAATCCCGAAGAGCATGAAAGGTTGCAGCGACATACCCTTTAATGAAATGAAGCACCTTCCCCTTGTTACTCAAGTTTTGCATTATAAAGTGTGGATAGCCCCAAAGACTTCCTGGAGTGAACATAAACGTCTGGGGAGGGGGCAGAATTATTAATTGTAAACCACCCAGCAGAATAATAAACCCCCTAAACACCACAACAGTAGTCAGCCAATTATTCAAACAAAATATACCTCACCCAAAGTCTTGACTATTCTCTGCAAAGATCACAGGTGGCAAAGGCCATTTCAGACAGAGTGAGAGGAAAAGGAATTGCACTTTCGGAATGCAATAGTCTAGCCATTAATTGGAAAGTAATAGAAGAATGGGAATTTAATATAAATATTCAAGGAATTGCTGGAAAGAGATACTGTATACAAGTATATTCGGTTTACAAGAATAAATCGTATCACAAAATCCTTTAGCCAAAACCAGCCCAAACCCATAGGTTTTTGGGTAATTCTCCTTTAACCTCACAGAGATTTAGGCAGCAATAGTATCCAGTGAATGTGGCCAACCTTACCTCAAAGTATGCATCATATTCAGCTACTACGTATTCTGATCGTGGTTTATTTTGACAGTACACCACATACATGTGCAATCTCCTCTCCTGTGAAGGCAAGATGCACAGGAGTCTAGTAAGATATTAGCTACTATATTTTTATTAAATGATTGGAGTGGCAGAAAGATGCTAAAACTGCTCTGTTTGATCATGCTCATTTACTCAAAGGTGCAAAGCAATGGAATCAGGTCTGTTCTAGCTGACCCCGAGTCTCTCCTTGATGAAAAGCAATCAAGGCAATATTCCTTCCTCTTTATAGAATATTTACACAATGCAGCCCTGATCCTCTAAACACTCAGGCACTTGAGTAGCTTTACTTTGGCAAGTGGTCCCGCTGAGTTCAACAGTGCTACATATGTTTGACAGATGGAAGCTTTAAACAAGGGGCCAGATCCTCACTGCATGTAATTCAGCATAGCGCCACAGAAGATTTATGCTAGCCAAGGGTATGGTCCAGTGTTTTTACTTCTTTTAAAAGTAACTGAACACCAAGAAGTTGGACAACATGCACATATTTAAGCCAGGGGTGGGCAAACTTCAGCCTTCAGGCCACGTCTGGCCTGCCAGCCTTTTTAATCCGGCCCTCGAGCTCCTGCTGGGGTGCAGGGTCTGGTGCTTGCCCTGCTCCAGTGCTCCAGCCGTGGAGCAGCATCGGGGGCCGCTCCATGCGGCTCCTGGAAGCAGCGGCATGGCCCCCCTCTGGCTCCTACGCATAAGGGCGGGGGTAGTGTGCAGAGCAGAGCCCCCTGGCTGCCCTAAGTGCGGCCCTCGCAGCTCCCACTGGCCAGGAGCTGCAGCCAAATGGGAGCTGCGGGGGGTGGTGCCTGTGGCTGCGCCTCTGCGTAGGAGCCAGAGAAGGGACATGCTGCTGCTTCTGGGAACAGCTTGAGGTAAGTGCTGCCTGAAGTCTGTGCCCTTGAGCCTCTCCCCAACTCTCTGCCCCAGCCCTGATCCCCCTCCCACCCTCTGAACCCCTCAGTCCCAGCCTGGAGTACCCTCCTACATCCCTCCTCCAAACCCCCTCATCCCCAGACCCACCCCAGAGCCTACACCCCCAGCTGGAGCCCTCACCCCCCTGGCACCCCATTCCCCACCCCCTGAACTCCTCATTTCTGGCCCCAACCAGAGCCCTCACCCCCTCCCGCACCCCAACTCCAATTTTATGAGCATTCATGGCCCGCCATACAATTTCTATTCCCAGATGTGGCCCTCAGGCCAAAAAGTTTGCCCACCCCCGTTTTAAACATTATGGCAACCAACGATAAATTGTAAAATTTATTGATGAAAACTATTCTTAAACACATGATCTTCAGAGAACACTGCATGCTACGTGCCAATGTTATTTCAGTCTTGCATGATACAAAGTATTCCTTGCAGGAAAAAAATGCAATGTCGATAACCAAATGAGAAATATTCTTGGAAAATGTGTTTTTGCTCTCTGCACTTCAGCCAAAAAAAAGAAAAAAATAATTAATAATGGAGTACATCAAGATGTGCTCAAGTTTTAGTCCCTTCCATTTTGTGCTTTTAAAAAGCTAGAGACTCCTAGCCAGGAAATAAGTAAATTGCTTTCAAATCTTAATGTCACATGTATATGTTCAGGTTGTTGGTGCCAAGATACAAGACACAAGGAAGGTGATGCATAGGGTTACCATACGTCCGGTTTTTCCCGGACATGTCTGGCTTTTTGGTAATCAAACCCCTGTCCGGGGGGGGGGGGGGGGGGGGGG